AGGTCAGAAGCATAGCAGGAAGAAATGCCTCTCTTGCCTGATCTCAAAACAGGACTGCGTATGCCCAAATAAGACAGATTTTTCAGGGGAACAGTGATGTTAGCTTTTACATATAGCCCCTCTGCTCTCCCCAGGACTCACACGAGTCTGCTAAGAACTGCCCCAGGAGACTGCTAAGACTGTCAAGCACATTTCTGGGTCCAGAACTGCCCCTCCTTTCCAAAGACTCTCTTATCTCTCCTGAGGCCCCTTGGCCAGAGAGGTTTTGAATCCTCTACACCCAACTAATCAGCCTCCATCAAACAGCGGGAGGATGCCCTGAGAAGGCAGCAGCTGCCTTTGCTTTTCTGGCTGCTTTCATCTGTCAGAGTTGCTGTGGATTTTCATTTGCGCCTGATCACAACCAGTGAAGGAGAAAGCACGCTGTGCAAGGTGTAACAGACTTCTGCCAAGACCTGGCTCTTGGGGAAGCTTAGGAACTTGAGTCAGGCTCAAACCCAGGCTGAGTCTCCTAATTTCCCATCTTCTGCTCTTCCAATTTCTCACAGTAGCCTCTCATGCAGGATGGAGGAGAGAGCTGGCTGCTCTCTGGCATGCCAGGGAGGTGAGGGGGCTCCTTCACTGGTTACGCACTTCAGAGAACAAGAACCATGACTCACTCAAGCCATTCTGGAAAAAAAGAGGCTTGTAAAGATGCCGAAGTCAGGAGTCTGTGGTGTATCTGCTTCTATGGAGCAGCCCCGCTTGCCCCTTGCTCCTCGTGGGTCCATCTCCTGCATTTTCCTAGTTCACGTTCCACCAGGAGTCATTCTGATTGGCTCAGCTAGTGGGTGGAGCCTTTCCCAAGAAGCCCTGCTCCACCAGTCAACTGCCAGTGGATGGATGGCCTGGGTTTAGGTTGGACGCTCAGTCTGAGCCAATCAGTGGCCACTCCCAGCCAAATACCACAATAACAGCGCTTCCCCAAGTAGGGAGCGATGGATGCACAATTATGCCTAGGAGGGGGTCTGGGGTGTGGTGGCACCCTCAAGGTTACAAACACAATACGGGAGCTTATCCTCATATCTCAAACAGGCAGACACACGCCCTGAGCTCTCCAGCCCACAGCTCTCTCCACCCTCTGAGCTGCCCCGGCCCCAGTCTCACCATTTCCCAATTAGTCTCACCCTGAGTTGAAGAGCTCTTTGTTCCACCTGGAAATGCTGTCTTCCCTCACTGGACTGTGAGCTCCTAAAAGGCAAGGACCATGTTTTATCTCTGTCGCCCCAGCACCTGGCTCAATGTCATAAATTTGTCGATCCCTGAGAGGGGAAGGGGCTTCCCAAGGCCATTCATGGAAGGAGGGAGAGAGCTAGGGTGGAGCCCAAGTCTCCTGTTCCACATCTAGGCTCCTCTCTGCCTCCAGTAGGCTGCCTGGAATCTCACTGAGATGTGAAGCCACTGGCTCTGCCCTGAGACACTGAGACATCCTCCCTTGAGGATGCAGCCCCAGCCCTGACCCCTGACACCTGGGCAGCCCTGAGTCAGTTCTGGGAATGAACCTCCTGTCCTGCTTCATGTTAGCCTCCAGGGGATGCTCAGAGCAGACCCACAGACAGCCTGACCCCAAGTTCCTGAATGTTCTGCTTCACTATGGGCCTCAGGATCCATGAGGGCTGCAGTGGGAGAGGGAAGCAGACAGGCAGGCTGAACCAGCTGCTCAGCCCAGCCTGTGTGCCTCCTCTGCAAGTGTGTAGCATGTGTGGCTGTGCAAGAGGGGGCGTGCAGGCCTGAGTGGGCATGTTGTGACGCGTGTGTGCCTGCACTCAGCTCTGATCCCCAAGTATAATGTCACCTTAGGCGTTTCGCTTTCCCTCTCTGGACCTCAGTTTCCTCCACAGTAGAACAAGAGGGTTAGGCTCAAGAGCTCTCTCCTCTTCTCCCGTCACCACTGCTCCTTACACCTCCCTCCAGACCCCTCTTCCTGTTTTCAGCAGAGCAGCTCTCCCAGCCTCTAACACCCCCCTCCCTGCAGATCCCCAGCTTACCAGGGGCCTCATCTTCTACCTCCAGCTCTTATTAAAGCCTTTCGCTTACAGGAACAGCTCTCTCCCCAGAAGAATGCAGGTACATTCTCCACTACCTTGGCCACGTGTATGTGTTTGAGTGTAACTGTCTGTGACTACAAGTGTGTCTGTACCGTGGTGTGCAGGTGATGATCAGAGGGAAAGGGAGAGATGGCAGGGGCCCCACAGGGAGAATGGGTCTCTATGCTTAGATCTCTGTGTTTGATTTCCAAACACACAGAGAAAGGCTCCTAAGGGCAGGTACCCATACTCCAGCGTTGTGAACATTCTTATAATATCTATTTGTAAGCAAGACTCGGTCTGTATCACCTCCTCCAGGAACCCTTCCTTGTAGCCCTGCACTGAGCTAACTGCCCTTCTCCTGTCTTCTATGAGCCCTGTGTCCTATGCATGCCTCCAGCAGAGCGTTCAGCACATTCTATTTAGATTGTCTGTGTTCTCGCCTGCCCCATCTCTATGGTGAAACTCCTAGAGGACAGGGATCATGTCTCACCCCCTCAGCATCCCAGCACCTGGGATGTTCAGAACCTGTCTGTGGACTGGGCTGTCCTGGCCTCCCATGCGCCCAGTAAGATATTGCCCCCTCAATGGCCCCACTCCCCTACGCCCACCATGCCCTCTGCAGTGCAGGGCAAATCAAACCGAATACACCTGTGGGGCTTTCCTCTTGGGGTCACCACCCCAGGACCTTCCCCAGGCCCAGGCAAGACTTGTTCTAACCCTGAAGATTGAGGCAGCCTGGGATACAGGGTGTGGACTGCCTGGCTGATTCCGCCCCACCCCAGGGCCTCCACCACAGGGAGACTTCCTCCTTTTTTCCTGAACTTTCTGGCCCTGGCGCGAACCTTGCTGGCGCCCAGGGGCTTTTAATATTTTCCGTTCCTGGCTGTTATACAATATTTCACCTCAAAAATGCGTCCTCCCCTTCACCAAAGGGCGCGCCTTTCCAGTGAGAGGAACCAGGCAGGGTGAGTGGAGGTGACCCACCTCATTCTGGGGCTTAAAGGAGGCCCAGCCCAGCACTTTGGAGAAAGAGGTGGCAGAAATGTCTCCCCAGCCAGAGGAGACGAGCTCCCGGGCTGGTCTGAGGCCTCGTGGTCCCACTCGAAGCTCCACTCGAAGCCCAGATCCACTGCCAGAAGGGCACCACCTGCTTGTCCTGGCCCCTCTAGAACTCCAGTCCCACCCTTCCCACTTGCCCTCTGACCCCAGTCAAGTGGCTTCACTTCTCTGAGCCCAAGGTCCCCGCCTATACAGTGAGGATGATGATAGCAACCTCTTTCAGGGTCCTTGTGACGCCCAAATGCTGCACATTCACATCATCTGGGAGCTTTAAAACACACCCTGCCGCGCCCACCCTTGGTAATGCTGATTTAACTGGTGCGGGTGTAGCCTGGGCATCGGTAGATTTTAAAAGCTCTCAGGTGACGCTCTCTCGCAGCTGAGACCAACTGCTCTGATGGGGAAAGAAGGCGCGTTCTAAAGGGACTCCTGACAGGTGCCGCTGCTGCTTTGATGAGGGAAGGCACTGCACCCCATTTTCCTGAATATATCT